AAAAGGATCCACACAGGAGAGAAGCCATATAGATGTACAGAGTGTGGAAAGTGCTTCAGCCAACACAGAAATCTGTCCTGCCATAAAAGGATCCACACAGGGGAGAAACCATATAAGTGTACAGCATGTGGAAAGAGTTTCCGCAGGCATACTGATCTCATTTCTCATGAAAGGATCCACACAGGAGAGAAGCCATATAGATGTACAGAGTGTGGAAAGTGCTTCAGCCAACACAGAAATCTGTCCTGCCATAAAAGGATCCACACAGGAGAGAAGCCATATAGATGTACAGAGTGTGGAAAGTGCTTCAGCCAACACAGAAATCTGTCCTGCCATAAAAGGATCCACACAGGAGAGAAGCCATACAAATGCACAGACTGCGGAAAGAGCTTCACCACCAGTGGTTCCCTCACTGCCCATAAAAGGATCCACACGGGAGAGAAACCATATACGTGCACAGAATGTGGGAAGAGTTTCAGCCAAAGTGCTTCCCTTAGTTCCCATGAAAGGATCCATACTGGGATGAAACCATATCAATGCATGGATTGTGGAAAGAAATTCAGTAAAAGCAGCCACCTTAGTTCTCACAAGAAGATCCACTCGGGGGAGAAACTGTATAAATGCACAGAGTGTGACAAGAGCTTTTATACAAGCAGTTCCCTGATATCACATAAAAGGATCCACTCTGGTGAGAAACCCTACCATTGCACAGATTGTGGAAAGAGTTTCAATACAAGCAGTTCCCTCAGTTCACATAGGAGGATCCACACAGGAGAGAAACCATATGAGTGCCAGGAGTGTGGAAAGAGTTTCAGTCACAACACTTCCCTCTCTTTTCATAAAAGGATCCACACAAAGAAGAACTCACCTTCTTCCTAGCGTATTTCTGCAGGTGCAAAGTCTGCTTTTTGGATCATTTAATGCCATTTTGCATGGTCAGCTGCGTCTCCATGGCGCAGGCCCGCGGCTTGCATATATGTTGATAATATCTTGCCATTTCTGGACACCTGCAAGGTTGCCGGCCATTGGCTTTTTTTTAGGCTTCTGGTTTTTAGGCAGTCTTAGCAATGGTGGAAGGTGCTGCTCTCTGGACATTATACTACCTGAGACTTTTCAGGAAACAACAACTGAATGAAAAATTACTGGTGATCTTCTATTGCTGCACCATAGAGAGTATTTTAACACTGCATCTTTGTATGGTTTGCCAATTACACAATGGCAGATAGGACAGCACTCCAGAGGGTCAACGTCATTGCTCAGAAGATCATTGGTTGCCCTCCTTCTTTGGAAGAGCTTTATAACTCCCACTGCGTTAAGAAAATTCAAAACATTCTTAAAAATCCATCTCATCCTGGGCACCCTTTTTTTTAACTATATTGAATTCTACGGTATAGTGCAATATCAGGTTTTCGATTTCAATTATATAGAAAGTAAAGGATGTATGTTTGTGTTTTTATTTTTATAGTTATAATGTACACTGATCGGCATTTAATTTTGTTGTACCATGTGCAATGACAATAAAGTAAGCTAAACTGAACAATATTGCAAGTGATGGGTACTGGGGCATAACTTCTTAACTTTATATACTCATTGTTGAGGCCCAAACTAGTTAAGAGAAAGATCTTGTGTCATGGAGACCACATGGACTCACAATGCAAAAAATTCAGGCTCACTGCAGTATTTATTGGACAGTATGTATTATTAAGACCCACCAAGTTAATAATGAGAAACACCCATGCAAATAATGAGAGATGCTGATATTTATACATTTCCCAAAAAAATTGGGGAATGTGATGAAAATAAAGGAAGGAAAATGCATGCATACATATTTATAAGTAATATTAGATCTCAGGTTACTTCTTGACCTGTAAGAACAAGTCTTACAAAAAAAACATTTACATCTTTTAAAGAGTTGGCAATGGGAATATTCTGATATTTGTTCGTTGTTCCACATTCCTTATGTTTCAACTTTTTTATTAAACAATATAAGGAGAGACTTGTTTATCATTGCCATTACAGAAACTTGGTGAGATGAAACCGACAAATGGAACATATGGCTAGAAGGATTTAAATTATTTAAAAGAAATAGACCAAATAAAAGAGGAGGTGGAGTTGCACTATATATAAGAAATAATTACCTCTCTACAGAAATACAGCACAACAATGATGAGAACTATCTTTACATGCTTGGGCTATTTGCTGATATTCTGCCTTAGTTATGTCCCCCCCTTTCCACTTTTTATACTTATCTTTTT